CTTGTTATGCCTTTAGCTTCCAGTCACATTCTGGCTAGCAGAGGCAGAGAATAAGCCTCACCATCTGCTTGCCTCTTGGAGAGCTGTTCTAGTGTAACGTTACCCATCCCTTTGTTTTCAGTCAAGGTGGCGTCTGAGAGAGACTTCCCTGTTCATCTGTGTGTATCGGGTTTTTTAAAGCTCCGTAGGAAACAGGTGACACTTAAGGCTCTGAGTCGCAAAGCTCAGATCAGGTGTCTCGAGAAGCGTCTTTAGCTCATGGGGAAGGAAAGGAGGATTTCCATTATTGTTCCTTAAGCGCTTTGCAGGTTCTTCTTTCCTGCCAGGGCTCTTTCCTTTCCCTTTGAACGCTTTTAAATTCTTCTTACTTTCCAGCTTGCCTTTTTGCTGTTGCTCAGCACACCTCCTCTCCCTTTGCCCGGTTCTGTGAACTCTTGTCGGTGCAGGAGCCCCTGCCCTTCGGCCCCTGATATCCGAGCGGTCTCCAGGCACTGCTGCCATGATGCAGTGCGTCTCCATGCTTTTTTAATTTTCCTTTTTTTGATGCTGTCTTCAAAGCAAGTTCTCGGCGTATTGTTGGCTGTAACCTTTCCCGCCTGCTTTTAAGTCCTTTAAATAAATCTGTCAAGTATTTCTGGGATGTAAGTTTTGAATAACATTTTCATACAAACTGTTCCAAAACAGAACTCGTCTGCAGACTGTGAATTTCATGTATGGAGGCTGGAAGGGTGTCTGCAGCATGTGGGAGAATCCTTATGGTTCTCTGCGCGAGGGAAGGGCAGGGTTTTCTTGGCTGGCCACGCTGAGCAGTGTGATGGGTGTATTTAATGGATACCTAATCATGTAGTGGAATTTTCTTGCGTGATGGTGGGGGTCCAATAGGTTTATAATTATGGCCTGTACTCGTCTGCAGAGCAATGGCTTTACGTGCCACTGCTTGTGGCACCTGCGTAAGTGTGCGAAGGACATCTGTTGCTTCTCATATGTCAAGAAAATGATGTCCTGAAGGAGCAAGGAGAAAAAGTATTTCTATGTTTGACTGTTTGACAAACAATGGTATTTTTAGCCATTTCTAGTTAAGTTTCTCATAGACTTTCTTATGTAAACTGTCATATTTAGAAGTTGTTCTGGACCAAAATGGGTACTTAGTAGAAAAAAGTTAGAGATGTTTTCTTACAGCATACTCACCAATAGGTTTGTATGAACTGGTAGTTGAACAATTTATGATGAAAACTGGGGCGGAGGGAGCTAGGAGAAGGAAGGGTTGAGATTAAAAGAGCAAGTAGTTCGGCAGCAGTCTTGAAATAATTGCCTTTTTCTGGTGGTGCTTGGGGTGGTGTTCCTACGCGTTGGCGTTAGCCTTGAATGTTCCTTGGGGTGTGGGTGAAAAGCAGCTGAAGACTTTGGGGTGAGGTGTTGAACGTTTCTTATGTGTGTTTTTCTTTTGTTTTCTGCCTTTCCTGCAGGGAACAGTAACCGAAGAGAAATCAAAGGCTACCCACCATGTTTATCCAAGTCCTACCTCAATGGATGATGGTAAAGTTGCTTTCCAGTTTTGCAGTGGAATTAGCCAAGTCACCAAATTTTGTTAGCGCTTATGGGAGCTTTCATACAGACACGGAAT